CACCTCAGCATTGTTCAAACTTGCTTGAAGGTGTCGATTTCGTAATCTCTTGTCAAGTGCTTGCTGACAATAGTACACATGTCGCGCTTCCATGAGTTCAGTGAACCCATTCAACGGCCGAATGTCATTAGGTGTGAATGTCATTCATTATGCCCGTGTAGAAGCAACAAAAATTACATCAACGCCTAATGTCATTCACAGTAAATGACACCACAGGTGCTGCGTGACAAAGGTATAATCAAGGAACTCTTATTGCAATTCGTGCTTTCCAGCAAATCAGAGGATCAATCATGGGTGATTAGACACAAGATGATACAGCTCCTTCCATGCCCCTACCCTACAATGACACGGGGAAATATCTAGCCGTAACGAGAGGGCACAAGCTCTTCAATATCACACTTTTTAAAGCTACTTAAATTTATTACACAGTCTAATCCCTTTCAAAGAGACCCTCATGTGAGAGACAAATGGGTATAAGAGACACCAGTGTGCCTACATTGAAATAAGTATTGAGAAGGAAATGTATACGTGCTACCCTGCTTTTAAGAGACACCTCATATAAAAAACAAGAACTGCTCTCTGGTACACGTCTCTTATAAAGGAGTTCAACTGCAGTACCAGTTATCACCTTACAATTTTCTACTGTTGGGAATATGTAGCTGTAAAATGCAATGACAATAAGCCTACATCTTTGAGGAAGACTTGCCTTTTGCAATAACATAAGCACACCAATTCATGGAGTGTCATACCTATAAAATATGTGAGATTTTGCATGCTAAAACCACAACAACCACAACATTATTGAGGCACACTGCAGTGGAGAGCTCCTGAAATTCTGTGCACTGACATAGCACAGCACACGGGCCTCTTGTGAGGATATCACCCGCATTGAAATGGCACACTATGTTAAGGAAGGGTCCTTGTTCTTTCTTCATTAAAGCATGCACCAAAACCTTTACCCTTGCCCCTGCGATTAACACATTGGAATTTTTCCATCACACCCCTTTCAGGTCAACAACCATGCAAATGGGAGTGTACCTTTCAGCTTCATGCCAAGCAAAAACTGAACATCCACAAAGAGTGGCGAAAGCTTTCATGAAGGCTTACAATGAGGTTCTGGTGAAAAATTCATTAACAAGATTGGTACATAACAAGTTTTTCAAAAGAGTTTCCTTGAGTGTCGATACTCTGATTACAATGCGATTCCTACGCTACAAAGGCTCCTTGAAAGTCAGCTGCTGTGACCTTTATAGGGGACTATGACGGCCCGTTCCATGGCAGTAATGCTATCAAAACAGTGACATTTCAGGCTTTTCTTGAATTTTAGGAACAGGACGAAGTCTGCTTGGCTCGTATCAGTGCTGACGCAGCACTAATATAGCCCTGATTGGAGCTCCGCGGACTTGATCACTTTCCCCTATCTCAAGAGAAACCAGAAAGGTCACTGTTTTGTCGCGGTTCCTACTATGGAACAAGCCATCCCGAAATCCGCATTCAGGGAGCCTTTGCAGCATGGAAATTGTGTTGTAATCTGTGTATTGATGCCAAAGAAAAACTCTTTCAAAGAATTTAAGCATGTACTACAGCATAGCCCGGTTATAACGAAGTTGGCAGCAATCAGACATTGCTTCATTATAACCACTTTTTTTCACTACATCCAGACTTGAAGAAAAAAAAAAAAAAGGTCAGACATCAAACGGACCACGCACTAAATTTTATTCATACCTCTGGAAAAAAGTGGTCGAGGGTCCTCTGCACGCGTATCGCGAGTGCGGGTTTCAGAACCCTGGCCTCAACACTGTCCATCAAAGCGCAATCGCTTAGTTCGGCTTGATTGATTGATTGATTGATTGATTGATGATTGATATGTGGGGTTTAACGTCCTAAAACCACTATATGATTATGAGAGACGCCGTAGTGGAGGGCTCCAGAAATTTTTACCACCTGAGGTTCTTTAACGTGCACCCAAATCTGAGCACACGAGCCTACAGCATTTTCGCCTCCACCGAAAATGCAGCCACCGCAGCCAGGATTCAATCCCGCGACCTGCGGGTAAGCAGCCGAGTAACTTAGTCACTAGACCACCGCGGCGGGGCTCTACCAGTTCGGAACTCAAATACATACACAGTGCGTCGAGAGCTGCAAGAGCTACTCTGGAGGTCACTGGCTGAGGTGAAGCTATGTCGTCACCTTCCGGGTCCGAGGAACTGCTATCAGCGATAGTTTCCTTTTCCAAGACACCAGTGGCGAGTTCGACAGTGAGCTCCTCTGTTGCGACGAGGTCTTGATCCACAAGAGCGAAGTTCATATAGGTGATCCAACCTGCTTGGGACAAGGCTTGCATTGCCAGCGGCCTCTCAAAGCTACCCTAAACTCATCCCAGCCGCGGCACCAGCTGCTGCTGTTTCTTTTTCAGCAGCGCTGCTTCCCGCGAGAAACTCGCTTTTTGGAAGCAGTGAAAGATCGTCCGAGACTTCACGTCCCTCCAGGCTCCACTTGCAAAAAATATTGCCTTCACCAGCGGCACCTTCAAAGCAGCCGAGTTATCAGCTGTTCGGATGCCAGAGAAGACACCCAATGACACGACGGCTATAGTGAGCTTTGAAGTTACCAGTCACTCCCTGGTCCATCGGCTGCATCTTGGTGGTTGTGTTGGGAGGCAGGAAAAGGACATCGACAGCGCTTATATGTGCATCGAAATGGTGTGCACTGCAGTTGTCAAGCATAATCAGTATTTTCTGGTGAACTTCATCCAAAATGGCACATTTCACATTCAGGAAGAGCACCTTTCATTTCGCCGTGGATGAGGTCGACGTTCCAGGTATCAGTGGTCTTGACTTTGCCAAATAGTTCGTCGGTGCACAGGGCACGCCAAGCTGTTACTGCGGGAAAGTCCAAGTGTGCTGCGATGACCCGCTTTTCACCAGTCAACAGAGCTGAACAAGCATACGAGTGCTTCTGCTGTTCAAACTGTCCTGCTTTGTTCAAGTACACAAACCCGGCCAACCGCGCAAACAAGCATGACAGGCTTAGGCAGAAGTCGCCAGTGGCGCCACACCGTGGAAAAAAAGCAACTTAAAAGTGCTCCACACCTACTTCGCTTTTTCACCACGACACAGCATCACAAGCACAATTGGGCTGGCATGGCCCAATGGATGGCCAAGCATGGGGCAGTATTTGTGTGAAACAAGCCAGGGGATGTAGTATGCAATGTGTGATGAGATAAGATACCAGCAACCTTTCACTGGTTTTGGCGACAGCGACCGGGCAACTGTGTGATGCGGTGAAGCAAGCCTTCACAAGGAGCCGAGCAAGGATAGGTGCATAAGTGGGGTCGTTTTCAACGAGACAGAATTCACTTCGATGGGCGGCTAGGTCATGAGGTGGGTTGGCGACTTGCAGGACGCGCAGTAGCTTTTTTGGGGGACAAGCGAGCCCTTCGGGGTGCAGGATAGCTAGTAACGAGGAAAACAACCAGGGAGGCTCTTCGACAGGTGGTATGGACAGATACGATTCCAAAGTGGCACCAATATCTAAGATAGGTAGAGTCCGGGGCATAAATAGACGTAGTCACGAGCGCCGAGCCAATTCAGACATAGGGTATATTAACATGCACGGTGGTAGGAACAGGCTGAAGTGGGAAGAGATAGAAGAACAGCTAAGGGAAGAGAGGCCGATGGTATACGGTTTTGTAGAAACACATCTCAGGAACATGGAACAACCTCCGAACAATTCGGACTACGCGTGGGAATATTGTAATAGAACAGAAGGCAGCAGAAAGGCGGGTGGTATTGGGGCATTCATTCATAAAAGTACAGACTGGCAAAGGGTCAAGCAGGAGTGCAAGGAACATTTATGGCTAAAAGGGAAAGTGGCAGGTCAAATGACACTCCTTGGTTTCCTGTACTTGTGGACGGGAGCAAAGGCCAGAGAGGAAAACCAGGCAATGGTAGAGTGTATATCAAAGGACATTCAGGAGTTAGGAAGAGAGTGCGAGATAATTATACTAAGAGACATGAATGCGCATATAGAATATAGATGGGTATACCGACCCGACAGGCAAAATGATCATGGATATGTGTGAAAGGCTTGAGTTGATCATTTGCAACAGTACCGAGAAGTGTGAAGGGCGAGAAGTGTGAAGGGCAAATAACATGGGAGGTAGGAAGGCTGCGGTCAACGATAGATTATGCACTGATGTCACATAGGATGTATGATAAGCTCAGAGGAATGCACATAGATGAAGGTGGCACCAGAAGTCTGGGTAGTGATCACAAACGTATCAAGCCAAGTGCTTTTCTAGTCCGTCCGTCCGTCCGTCCGTCCGGTCAATGCACGAATAGTGCGCATTCACAATGGAAAGACTCTTTCTGCGATGAACGCTGAACTTTAAGCTCTCCAGAAATAAGAACGGCAACGGCATCGTCTCTCACCCACAAGAGACGACGCTGATGCGGGCGGCATCTGCTAGCGAGTTTCTTGATTGAAAAAACCAACTACTCGTGCTGAAAAACCATTCACCGGCCACCCTTGACATGCAGGCACTGGATCTTGACCTACATTGTAGTGCCGGTGAGAGATTTCTTGTTTACTATCAGTGTCAAATGAAACTTGAACAGTGGCAAGTCTTTGCGATGGTATGTGTGTGCCGTCCAGCTATCACCGCGGACAGGCATGCGTATATGCGCAGAGCTACCGAACAGTATGCGCGCGCCTGTCAACGTTGATAACTGGACGGCGCGCACTACACTATCGACAAGGCTTGCCCCTGTTCGGGTTTCATTTGATGCTGATAGTACATAGTTGAACAATGAAGATTCGCAGTGTGCGTGTTTGTTAACAAAAAATGGACTGCATCCTTTGCCCCTCCCCAGGTTTCATGTTAGTAGAGTTAAAATGCCCTCCCTTACATGCTTTGCCGCTTCCCAGTTTTTATGTTTTTATTTTGCATTTAACAATAAATCAAATGTTCATGTTAGCATTGGCAGACAAATACTTACAGCTTCCAGAAGTTTCACAGTCCTTGAGTGCTCTCCAGATGTCATCACATCCAGAAGGTCGTCAACCATGTTCACAACGTAATCACAATCCCTGGCAAAGCTGAGCAAACTGAAGAAGATGGAAGGAGGTCAGGATTACTTACCGCACCAATGGAATTCGGAAACAATATGTTCAAAAACATAGGGCAGTATATATTTCAAGGTGAAAGGAGGCCTGCAACACCTCTCCAGGTTATCATAGAATAATTTTATTGGCCAGTTGCTTGATTAATCTCATGCCACGAAAAACTTAAGGATAGTTGTAGCCAAGCGCTCCCTCTCCATCTGTTGCCACCAGAGCATCCCTGTAGTTACATCACCAGATATCATGATCTTGGGCACTTCTTGTTTTAGGTGCACACAGCACTGGCTTGTGGCAGCACATAGTACTCATAACATGGCAGGTGGCCTACAAGATCCATCTGCTGGAGCAACTGCTCATGAAATCGTGCAATAACTTTTGGGCTTGCTTGCTGTATAGCTGGTGATGACATTGTGAAGAAGGGAATAAGAATTTTTAGTTGTTTTTGACATCAACTTCCTGCAGCATGCAGTGCAATATATTGGGCTCACATGTTCAAAGTAGCCTTGATTAGAGAAAAGCAAGTGTTCCTCAACTTTGCTAAGAAAGCATTACAGGGCCCCTTAATGAAAGAATATTCATAATACAAATAAATATTTCTAGTGCCCTATTTTTTTAGGAAGTCTTTGATTAGAATGTTTTCCGTTGACAGTGACAGTGGTACACATCATAGAACCAATGCTATTTGAAATCATTAAAATTTTGTATGACATGCAGTGCATCACTTGTGCAATAACCCCATCCCAGCAGTTATCACTCAATTTTCAGAATATGATCTCCACATAAAATGACAGATCGTGCTCCCCATCCAAGAAAGTCACATATTTGTCAAACATGGCAAATTAGACTGAAGACAACAGTCAAAATACCTCTCAGCATACTGGACCCCGACTTCATCACCATAGGTTGAATATACAAGGTCAGACTCTTCCTTTGAGAGATTTGCAAATGAAGAATCATAGTGAGGCGCATATGTGCTGTAGGTTCCATAGTTCAGGTAATTGACTGCAACAAAAACAAATGTCTGTGAATGAGACCAGCAAGTTTTAATAGCTAACTCTTGCATTTACAACGCCTCATTTTGGGCAGCCTTGGTGCCATGAGGCTGTACTCATCAGCTAATTTTTATTATTACTTTTTTTTTAAATCTCAAACAGTACCTTCCAAAAACATAAAACTCACACATATGAAACGCGTAACATCTCTCTGAAAATCCTATTGCCACTTACTGCGGCCTGTAGGTGGTGCGCAAGGTAAACCAACATGAGGGTCCGGAGGTTGATAGAGAGCGAGTAGGAGGGCATACAAGCGTGTTGTAGAATTTGTTTTGGCAAATGTAATCACGCCAGGTCACTTTCATGACGTGGCATCGAGTTCCACAAGAAAAAATTTGCAAAACAACTGTTTATACGGTGGCGAAGATGAAAGCTCAGCACAACTTGCAAGCATCGATTACCCCTTCATTCTCCGCTGCACTGACCCGCTTGTATCTGCAGATGTCGTGTTGGCTTCTCATGAATAAATGTTGCGACGATACACACCATTTCCAGCTGCCATATGCCACTCAACCAATTAAACAGCGGCTGCATCATTTTATGTAGTGTGAACCAGCTCGTGCACTGGGATCTTGGAAGGCCTCATGGGCAGTTTGCAAATACAAAAGGGGTAGAAATGCACCATCTATGCAATACACAACGCTTTGTCGCTCATGAAATCAAATTGCTTCAAGCTGTAATGTTATGAAGGAATACGGTTATCTCGATAATTGAAAGCAATCGAAACTTGAACCATTATGACCATGAGAATGGAAAGCTAGGATTTATTTGATTTATCATGAGCATTAAGCTCGTGAAACACTGGTGTTGCCAACTTTGAAAGAAAGTTTTTGCAGTTTTGTTAGCAAAGACATCTGTTTATTGGGTGAATGATCAAATAGGAAGCACTCAGACGATACTAACATATATAAGCTTAATATCTTAACATTAATAGTACAGCACATAAGCTTCGATCAAGATGACTTCGTAATATCCAGCAACTGATTACCGAATGGTGCTCACGACAGAAAAAATTGCACTAAAACATACATTAACGTAGCGTGTACACGCGAGGTTCCTATTGGTACATGCCCAGTTCGTTATTTTTTTCCCACCTCTCCTTCTCAGAATGGCATACAATCAAGCTTATTGAGAGAAAGAGAAACAATTTTATTGACAGTACTACGAGATCGTTGACTTCATTTTACCAGTGGTTCAAAGGGTGGTTCAAAAAGCTTGCCACGACCGTTTAGGCGTAGATAATTACTTCTACCTGAACACAGTAGTCAGTTGACGACAGGAGTGACTCCCACACCTCGAGGGAGGAAGCTGGAAGTATTGCTTTGGAAGCTGCCTAAAGGCTACCGAATATCTCATTTTCGGAATGCGAGGAGAATCCACCACCAAAGCGTATTGAAGCGGCACAGACTTGCGAACAAATTACCACACATGTGACCATAATTCCACTGCAAATCTGGTTTGTGCTCCCTGATTCGTGAAAAAGGCTAATAAAAGCTCTCTGCCCACATGGCAGGTGTTGGTAGGGCCTGCACTAGCCACGTGAAAGTGCCGCATCGTCAGTCGATCCTCCTCGAGGTGTTTTTCTTTCTATTCACTGTGCGGTGCATCAGTCTACGGACAGTGCGAATACAAAAGCGTACCCCTACTGTTTGAGCATATTGCGTTCACGTAGAAATTCGATACAATCAAAGGTGGCTATATCTAACTCCGGCAAACTGAATTATCTTATACGTAATCAACCACTTTGAAACACGGCAGTGCTTCAATGCATTCAATGCATTAAAAAGTTTACAGCTACATTAAACACAAACAGCCGGGACACTTGATATATCGAACATCGGGCAACACGAGACGCCCCAAAAGGTTGGCTTTCCCTCACTAATATTTTAGCTTTTGCTCATAAAAAGAGGCTTTTTCGCATTTAGGAGAGTGAGCAGTGCGATCAAAAAGGCCCCGTATATAGCACATAGAAAATACTGCATGCCATCACATGCCCCACAGTTTCTCGTCGTCGTGCTGGCAACACATCGTGCGTGGTTGGTGTTTCGATTCTCCACTAGTTTCCTTAAAGAGACCCTGAAACAGTTTTTTGAAGTTTTGTCAGTGTTTAGGCTAGAGTATCATGAAACAATTCGCACCACAAATTTATGGACATGCCGTGTACCAAGGCCACTGCGGAAAATTATACCGTACTGCCCTTCTCACCCTTGCCTGGCCTCCTCAACTCATGAGCGCGCTCGACGATTTGAGCTTTTACCAGTCTAGACCTCCGAGATGGCACATAGGTTGTGCGCAGTCTTAGAGGCCATCACGTAGTGCGCCCGGACACACGTGTGTCATCTGGCAACAGAGCCGAAGATCGCGGAGTGGCTCGTATCTACTCCGACCACCACCCTACCAGCCAATCTTCCGCGCATTCAACAGCCCATGGCAGCCAATCAGATAAGCAGCTATGGTGAAAGGGCTGCTGATGTTCTCTGGCCTCATCAAGTGGCCAGAGCATGCCGCTCTGTGAAAGTGGCAATTAACGCATTTGGCTGAGTCTCAACGATTTGCACGGATTGGCAGCGATTAGCAGTTTTAAAGCGTTGTAATAAATTGCACAGTTTACACAGAGAGCTCAAATCAGTCTCTAAATAACCCTTGGGACATGGTCTATCGGCCCAATGAGTTTGTACAAAATCGCCAAAATCATTTCAGGGTCCCTTTAAAGGGGCCCTGCGACACTATTTGAGCATGTATTCTTCATCGGTTTTTCAGGTACTGTGGGACGCACCAATATCCATGTGCAAATGGCAACGCCGAAATCGACACTGTTATAATTTTAATTCACCAGGACAAACTACCTTGGTTTCAGGCAACGGCAATACACATCCGCCATCGTTGTCATGAGAAGGGATGTCGAGTCGTGACATGACGACAAAGATCGTTCTGTTTTGATTGTTGATTGGCTTGACACGGCAAGTAGTGTCCAATATTCATATGGTGGTAGCTAAGCCATACAAGTGAATGCTAAAACCCACAAAAATCCTTTTTACACTTTCTCAGAAAGAGATTATTTCTGTTTCTAAATTATGTATTTTCATAACAACGAACACAACACTTTGTCTGCGAACGAGGCTATCGCCAGCAACTGAAGGTGGAAACGCATGACGCGTTTTTAGCGTGCCAAAAATGCAACAGACGGTGGGCGTCGGCGCTGCTGTAGACAAGTTGAAAATTTTCCCTTGTCACACATGACAGGCAACTTTCCACCTTGTCATACCACATCGAAATATTGCGCAAGGATTCCCTCCAGTTCAGTAAATACAGTTGTTGCATGTGTATTCAATGAAGCTTTTTATTCGAAGCACACGTGTGCATTCTTCTTAGGGGCTCTTTCATCGTCAACTTTAACTTTGTTCCTTTACTGGGTAAGCCCTCACTTCTCCAAATTTTATCCGCTTATCTATCACCACGGGGGGGGGGGGGGGGGGGGGGGGGGGGGGCTGAAAATATTACCGTAAATGTTCCCGGTGCCCAACGAGTATGCACAGCTGCATATGAATATTTTGGGGCGGTATTCACATCGATGCCGCATTTTCTCATGTATAATTCATCCCTACATATAACCCTGCATCCACTACGAACAGCGGAAAAAATACAAACTCGCGTATTGCTGTGAAAGCACATCCTTTACATTATCATTAACATGAGCAGCACCGTGAAGCAAACTAGTGCACAGATACTCGAACTACAAGTATATTATTCAACTAATTACCATTTTTTTACGATTTCAATACATGCGAGTCCAACTGTATATGAAACGCTACGCAGTCACTCTGCAGTCAATGGACTTACAACCACGTCTTGCATTGAAAATACTCAATATCATATTGTTTCAGCAGACATGTGTGCAGTTAAACCTTGACATAAACTTCAACACAATGAAACTTTCTATTTAATGTATTACGATTGTAAAAGCTTCACCCCATCTTAACACAGCAGTTATTAAAAAAACACTGAAACACTTCTTTAAAAAACGAGGTTGTGGTGTCATGATAGATAATTTCGTGCGGTGAACTTGAAAGCCAAGTTGAAAACTCGCGTAAACCAACGAAAAATACTAGTTTGCTGAAAACAAGCAACAGGTACCACGTCCACCATCGTGAGTCTCGTCGTTGCTGTGATTGGTCGAAGCTCCACGGCATCATTGACAGGAAGGAAAGGACAGCTGACTGTGCTCGCTGGCAGGTGATACCGGATTTATCTCTTGAAATCGGATAATTGGTGTTAATATGGCGAACTGAAGTCTTAACGAGTTCGTTGTATATTTGTATATGTTCGAGCCGGTCGCCAATGTAAGAGCGACGAATGAAGACAATTGAAGCGCCGATGATGCGGCACAGGAAAGCGAGTCCCAACCAGCCACTTTCACCCGCGTCGGAAACGCTGATTGGTACGTGTAAGATGTATGTCAATTTCACTGTAGTAAACTGATACAAACGATACGTTCAACCGTAGATATTAAATCCATTAAGGAACAGCAGAATATGCACTCGCTTTTGGGTGCGTATTGGCACGGTCTGCACTATGCTCGGGCATCATGCGCGGAAACATCAGCTGTTCATGGACTTCGCTGCTCAGAGTACAGCATTGTTGATGCAGTCAGTATCGCCCTTCCCAGCGGGCAAGAAGCATGCGATGAGTCAGTGTGCTACAGTGAGAAAAAAAAGCCACAAAAGTGCCCCACTTTGTCGCAGTGGCGAAATGTGCTCAGAACTGCACTGCAACCTTGTGCATAAATAGTTTGGCTCGCTTATTGCCATTCTATTTACAATACCTTCACTTTTTCTAAATTCTGGCCAGTACTAGAGTGATGGCATGTCAAAATGCAAGCCGTATATTAGCTGCGTTAGAAGAACGAGACTGTTGTGTATAGAGTGCTTGATTTCAATGCTGGGTGCTCAT